CCCTGGGATTTGTGACAGGCATGTGCAGTAAGGGCCGTATGGTGAGACTGAGTTCTGGATAATGGTCTGTGTTGACTCTGGGTGGTATCAGGATGGAAATGTCATGCAACAAGTTGGTGCTAAAAAATTTCATGGTGCCAGCCTGACCAACATGTGAAATGCTGTCTCTACTAAAAATACAAAAATTAGCTGGTTGCGGTGATGGGGACCTTGTAATCCCAGCTACTCAGGAAGCTGAGGCAGGAGAAGCACTTGAACCCATGAGGTGGAGGTTGCAGTGAGCCGAGATCATGCCACTGCACTCAAGCTTGGGCAACAGAGTGAGACTCTGTCTCCTACAGCATATATGTATATATATTGCTTGGTGTTTAGTGAACTCCGCAGATTTGGTGTCAGAAAAAAGATGTTACAGAGCCTGCCCTGGAGGGGCCTCCAGGTGTCTGGTAAGGGGAGGCTCGGTTCTCCTGCACACAGACTGTCACACTGCACATTGTCCTGTGGCTCTAGGTCTCCTCTCAGGGTGGAAGGCACTAAAAACTTAAGGAAAGGAATTGTGATAACAGACCTCCTTCTTTCACAGCTGCCACCACATGATTCTCGTGCATTCGCAAACATACCCACTAGACATTGATGTGTCCACACCCATCCCAGGACTAGCACCACCCTCAAGAATTCCACCACGCACCTTTGCTTTTAGTGTTTCTTGCCAAAATCCCATCAAAGTGCCTGCAGGTTTCCTGGCACATCCCCAACCCCAGACACTGAATCTCCAGTAGCAACCTGTTTCCTCCACCAGTGTAGGGTTCTGTACCACTTGCTCATAGTCCAATGTGCCAGCATGGACGCAGGAGTAAATCAGAGTATAGCCCCACAGGGACCACTATCTGCAGCACAAACCAGTCCTACCACTCGCTTACCTTGAACTCTTTCCTGGAGTCTTGTTCTGTCCCCCAGGCTGGAGTGCAGTGGCACGATCTGGCTCACTGCAACCTCTGCCTTCCAGGTTCAAGTGATTCTCCTGCCTCAGCCTCCCAAGGAGCTGGGATTACAGATGGGCATCACCACACTCAGTTAATTTTTTGTACTTTTAGTAGAGATAGTGTTTCACCATGTTGGTTAGACTTATCTCGAACTCCCGACCTCGAGATTTGCCAGCTCAACCTCCTAAAGTGCTGGGATTACAGGTGTGAGTCACCGCACCCAGCCAGAAACTTATGTTTTAATGGTTACGGAAAAGCTCACTGTTCCCTCATTGCTCTTAAATCTTTTCAGTTATAAACAACAAAAATGGGTGAATGTTTTCTGCAAGTCTCGGTCTTTCTGCTCGTGAGTGTGTGTCATGGTAGCTGGTGAACAGGTTATGCTTAAAAGATGTATACTCAAGATGCAGGTTTGATATGTCCAGAGCATGATATCTGAAAATACATTCCAGAGAAAGAGGAGGAAAAGAAAAAAATCTCTTTTTCTCAGGTGGGCATGTCTCAGATCAAGAGCAGTGTCCACTCTGCCATTTGAAATGCCGTGTGTTCAGAACCTACAGTTTTGTACTTCCCTACTTGTGCTGTTTCTCCCTCATGAGTTTGTTTCAACTATTTTTGGTTATTTTTATGAGAGTCAAGGGGTTCTGGAAAAAATATTTTTTTCTATATACCATAGTGGTCATACATTCTCTTCACCTTGGGTTCTTGTATGCCATGCAGAATTTTCACCACAAATTTAGAACGAGCAATACAAGTTCCCATTGTAGCTGTTGTTATAAGAAGGGGTGAATACTCAAGATTTCTACTAGATGTTAGTGATAAGTGAAACATGTCGTATTGAAGTTTCATCTGTGTGCTTTATTAGTTCCATGCAGGACAGGATTTAGAAAATGCTCATTTAAACAGGATAGCATTTATTACCCAGAAAATTCTGAAAAACTATTAGGAGATCCTTGCCCTCTAGGGTGCTAAAGAAAGATTACTTTAAATTACTATTAAAAATTACAGGACAGGGAAGTTATCTGTATCTTCAACTTTGCATAAAACTGATGTTTCTTTATAATTAAATTTAGGCCAGGTGTGGTGGCTCACGCTTGTAATCCCAGCACTCTGGGAGGCTGAGGCAGGTGGATCACATGAGGTCATGAGTTTGAGACGAGCCTGTACAACATGGTGAAACCCCATTACTACTAAAAAACAATACAAAAATTAGCTAGGCATGGTGGCATGCTCCTGTAATCCCAGATACTCGGGAGGCTGAAGCAGGAGAATTGCTTGAAGCCAGGAGGCAGAGGTTGCAGTGAGCCGAGATGACACCACTGCACTCCAGCCTCGGCAACAGACTCTGTCTCAAAAAAAGAAAAAATATATAATCACATATAATTAAATTATATATAAATTAATCATGTATGGTTAATAATAATAAACATAATTATGCATACATAATAAAGTTCAATTCATTCACACATAGAGAGGAGAGAAATATCACAACAGTGATGTTCTGTCTTATAAAAATGTGTCTCAGTACAGTTGATAATTTTATTCACATGGGTCAAGATCTGACATTTTTTTCTACTATAGAGTTAATAATTATTAAGTACACTTTGGAGATTTACTAGCTGAAGTGCATAGACCATCACATTTAATCTGAAAGCTGTCCTTTCTTTTTAGATGATTTTTGCATATTTTTGTCTTTTAAAAATAAATGTTATTATCTTTATTTACGGGTGAGAGAAACTGGGAAAAACTCAGCCTCTGCCACTTACTGGATGTTTGACAAAATATTCTTACTAGGCGAGAAGCATTGGTGAGCTTGCTGCAGACTTTATCCCAAATCTACTGAAACAAAATCTGCACAAGATCTGTAGTTTATTGCACATATTAAGACGGAATATACTGATATATATACTGAAACTACTGTAAGCGGTACCTTCCGACTTATCATGACTCTTCTATCTGAGAAATATACACAACTTATTCTGTATGATGTAAATGTAGCACTCAAAAATAGACATCTCTGGCTAGAGCGGCTCACACCTGCAATCCCAGCACTTTGGGAGGCCGAGAGGGGTGGATCACCTGAGGTCAGGAGTTCAAGACCAGCCTGTCCAACATGGAGAAACCCCATCTGTTCAAAAAAAAAAATTAGCCAGGCATGGTGGCTCAAGCCTGTAGTCCAAGCTACTTGGGAGGGTGAGGCAGAAGAATTGCTAGAACCCGGGAGATGCAGGTTACACTGCACCAAGATCGCGCCACTGCACTCCAGCCTGAGCAACAGAATGAGACTTGGTCTCAAAAAAAAGAAAAAAAATAGACATGTCCTTGTTGATGCACTTAATTTTATAATTCATCATCTAGAAAAGTGTGTCTACAGTGGTATTGTGGCAATTATGCTATCCTCTCTTCTCAGAGTTAGAGAATACTTCTGTGTTAAAGATTATCTTACTGAATAATTTTAGTTGCTCTTAGAAGTCAGAACCACTTCTGTTTACTTTCTTTTTTAACTTGAGTCAAATAAAAATCTCCGCCTACAGCCATGTGGTATTTCTGTGTTCATTAGTATATATTTTTTTTTTTCAGGAACTGTTGACATTCAGAGATGTAGCTGTAGAATTCTCTTTGGAGGAGTGGCAACGCCTGAATCATGCTCAGCAGAATCTATATAGAGATGTGATGTTCGAGAACTACAGAAACCTGGTCACCCTGGGTGAGGATAACTTCGATACACAGTTCCTAATATACCCTGAAAATTATTTTTCTCTCTTTTCTAAGATGTCTTTGGTAATTTCTGCTTTGCATGAATGAATTTTAGATGTCTGATTTTAAGAAAATCTTGAGGATTCATTCGTGTAAAACAAATTCTTCAAGGTGTTTTTTTTTCTTTTTCTTTTTCTTCTTTTTTTCCCAAGATGTTTTATCTTGACTTGAACTTTTCCCTTTCCTGAGCTTCTGTAGCTTTTGCTCTAGGTTACTGGCAATTCCAAAAATGTCATGGCATAAAATATCATTGCCCACACTTTAGAATTAAGTTGCCACCACCAGTTTTTGATTCAGGTACTGAGTAGTGAAGTTAAAGACCTACAAATTTAAAATATATTATGAATATTTAGAAAGTTCTGTTAAGAATCAATATTAATCTTCTAGAATTTTCTATTAAATCCTCTTTATTAAGCATAATACTAGGTTGGTAATCAAAGAATCCAGCAAGATTTATGTTACTTTTTTTCCTTAATAAAACAGGTATTGCTGTCTCTAAGCCAGACTTGACCACCTGTCTGGAGGGAAACAAAGAGCCCTGGAATATAAAGAGAAATGAGATGGTAGCCAAACATTCAGGTAGGTGAGAGTAAAAGAAGCAGATGACACAGACGAGAGGTACAGAAGTCAAGGAGGAAGCTGGTCCTTAAAATGTGGTCTGGGAAGCTGTGCTTCAATGAAAAGAGTTTCTGAGAAGCCCAGGTAATTTTTTTCCTTTGCTCTCCCATAGGGACACCTTCTGCCCCATGCTTTTAAATACCCTAAGGATTCTACTTTGGCTTCAGTAATCTTCCTTCAAGTTCCCAGTGTGAGCCAAAGTTTTCCTTATGGCTTGTAAGGAAATGCACAAACTGCTTTGCCATTGCTTTTGGGAACAGATGAATATCTGCATATTTTTGAGAAACTCTATGTTAAACCATTTTTAAAATTCTTTTTTTCACATCATGTCTCAAATGTGTGAGAATAGTAGTTTCTGTTTCATTGGTGGTGGTCCATTTTTCTGCACATGCCATTCTATTTCTATTACTTACTATGGCCTTGAAATATAAAGTTTTTTACAATTTTTATTTTCTAATTTTCATCTGTGTTATTTATTTATTTATTTAGAGGCGGGGCTGTGAGACTTGCTATGGGGGGATATGCAAGCAGGGTGCCTTTTATGTCTTCATTTTGCTGTGTTGCATACTGTAGATATAGATTCATAAATGGAATTGCTGTACTATATGATCACTTCATTTTTAATTATTTGAAGGACATGATATATTTTTTTTTTTCCAGAAAAAGATATTTTTTTATTCAAGTAACTGCAAATAGGAAACCAGAGGGGGAGCCCCAGGCTGGGACAAATCATGGCTACCCTTCCCCAAAAGAACAAGGGGAGGAGGTGGCCCCTACACCTTTTGTGGTGGATTCGGGCCCCCTTGCTCACTCTGCTGTAGCATCCAAGGGGCAGGGCCCCACCATCCCTGGGACTGGGGTAGTCAGTCACCCAGCCTGCCATGCCCCAGCCCCTCTTCCCCATGAAGAGTATCTTGGGGTATGGTATCGTGGGCAGAACAGGAGGCATTGAGGATGAACATTTGGCGCTGTTAGCAGCAGCAATGATGGAGGTCAGAGAATGGAACATTGAACAAAAAACAACACAACTGTCCAGAGGTCGTTTGTGAACAGAGGAAAAATGGAACTAGAACCTTGGGGGACAGGGAGGAGTGAGAGGGTTGGGCTCCTTGTTATTGGTGCCCCATCTGAGGAGGGGGAAATGGCTGAGAGGCAGAAGTAAAGTAGGGTGGGGGGAACAGCTCCAGCCCATCTCAGGTGGTAGCCACAGGGCTCACAGGCCTCACCTGGACAATAAATGACTGCATCTCCATCACCACAATATATACTCAGATCCCAGGCGGAGGGCCAGGGGACTGGGACCACAGTGAAAAGGGTGTAGGAGACTCGTACCCCTCCTGTCTTCCTGCAGCCAAACGGGGCTGTCCAACCTAGTGGAGGGACTAGGGAAGGTGGGGAAAGATGAAAGGTGTGAGCCCTATGTGGTGAAAAAGACAGTTTGGCTGAGGGAATTCTGGGGGCCAGCACCCCCCTCCATTGGCCACATCTGCTGCTGCCAGGGCTGTGGAGTAGGGCATGCCAGGATGAGATGGGGCTTGGGCCCCTTTTAAGGCCAGGGGAACCCTCCCAGAGCCCACTATGGGAAGCCAGAGAGAACAGTAGAGGAACAGAGAGGGCGCCCCCAAACCAAAAGCCCAGAGAGCAATGTCTCCATCACCAAGGGAGTGGGGACACAGCAGGTGCAGGGTGCAGCTAAGTGGGATGTTAGCCTTGTCCAGGAGCGCATGTGTGTATGCATGGGTGGGCGGGGGGGCTGGGAACTGAGGCCAGGGAAAAACTGCTCCCCACTCAGCCCATGGGGGCCCTGTAACAGCTGGTGTGCTGTGTAGTGTGATGGTGAAGGTACAGGTGGAAGATGGGGATGGCGGCCGGAGGCGGTGGTGATGGTGGGCCTGGGGAAGGGGCGGGGGCGGTGGGAGCGGAGCAAAGGTGTCAAGTCCCAGAAGGAAGCTGCTCCTCCAGTGAGGAACAGGCTGCACGCACGGTCACTGCTCCTCCTCCAAGGACTCCTGCGAGATGTCCTCCTCTTCCTCCTTCTCCAGTTTTTTGGGTCTGCCCCTTGGTTTCCTTCCTGGAGTTGTGGTGGTTTTCCGGTCCTGGCAGCGCCCTTGTTTTTGCTTCCCTTTGGTCGGCCCCGAGGTCTCTTCGGCGTTGGCACTTCACTAGGCTCCTTCTGACTCCCTACCAGCGCTGTCCCGGGACTCACCAGAGGCCCCAGCCACGCTTCTCAGTGCCGTCCTTTTCCTGCTTGGAGGCCAAGGTCTGGCTGGACTTTGAGCTCCATTCGCTCATCTTCCCTTTTCTAAGGAGCAGGTGGAAGAGTGATGGCTGGGATGCGCGAGCTCGGCCGCCGGCCTGCGGTGCACACTCTGGGTTCCCGGGAGCGGCGGTGCTGGGAGCTGAGGACCGGCCTGGCTCCGCCGCGGCCGCCGCTGGCAGCAAATGCGGATGCCTTCTTGGAGCCGCGCCAGCGCCAGAAATAGCCCCGGCTCGGAGTCCCAATTAGAGGATGAACATGTTATTTTTTATAATTGCTGCATTTTTATCATCAACAACTTACATAGGTTTCAATTTCTTTACATCATCAACATGGTGGGGTTTTTCTGATTTTCGTCTTTTTTTGCCTTTTTTATTATACTTTAAGTTCTGGGGTACATGTGCAGATCATGCAGGTTTGTTTTTGTAGTGGCCATTCTAATCGATGTAAGGTAATTTTGTTTTCTAATGTGATTTTTTCATTTTTCTATATATTATTAATTTTGTGCAGCTTTTCAAATGCTTCTTGCCATTTGGGTATCTTTTTTAAATTAAAATTTAGTTTAATCATTTGTCTTTTTTTTTTTTTTGAAATGGAGTTTTGCTCTTGTTGCCCAGCATGGAGTGCAACAGCACGATCTAGGCTCCTCTGTCTCCTGGATTCAAACGATTCTCCTGCCTCAGCCATCTGAGTAGCTGGGATTACAGAGATATGACACCATACCCAGCTAAGTTTGTATTTTTAGTAGAGGTGGCGTTTCGCCATCTTGGTCAAGCTGGTCTCAAACTCCTGACCTCAGGTGATATGCCCATCTTGGTCTCCCAAAGTTCTGGGATTACAAGTGTGAGCCACCACACTTGGCTCATTTGTCTATTTCTAAATCAAGTAATTCAATTATTGTTGTCTAGTTCTAGGAGTTGTTTTTATATTCTGAATATTAACTCTTATCACATGTGATTTTCAAATTTTGTCACCCATTTCTTGGGGTGCACTGTCACTTTATTATGTGTTTTATTTGCAGAAGTTTGGAAGTTTAGTCCACTTAAATTTGTCTGTTCTTTTCGTTGCTTGTGCATTTGATGGCTTAAGAAAATGGTGCCAAGACCAATATCATGTCTTTCCTCTATATTTTTTTTCTAAGAGTTTCATTAGCTTTTTTTTAGTCTAAGCATTTGTTTAAAATATATGTACATATAACATCAGGGCTTCAAAATATATAAAGCAAATATTGACAAAAATGAAGCAAGAAATAAAGTAGCAACATAAAATTATAAATATTAAGACCTCATTTTAAAAAAATAATAAAAAATTCAAAAAAAATCAATTTTAAAAAATAGAAAACCTGAAGAACACATTGTATATGAATTCATTTTGCATTGCTATAAAAAAATTGCCTGAGATTGGGTAATTTATAAAAAAATATATATATTTTTTTGGTTCACAGTTCAGTAGACCTTACAAGTATATGCAAGCATCTGCTTCTGGTGAGGATATGAGGAAGTAGATTTTTTGAAGATTTATAATTGCATTCGAGGTATGCTTCTTTTTCTATTAAAAAGTAGATTTTCTGAAAAGCAAATAATAATGTAACTCAACTTTCAAGTAACTTCATGTTGATTCTTTCTTCTCATTGTTTATGTGAAAGTGTTTGATCAATTGTTGCATCAGAGATATGAGAGATTGTTTTTATTAGGTGTCCATTATTCATAAACTTTTCTATGAAAGAGTAAGGACACTGAGTTGTAAGATGCATAATGAAAATCTAAATGGAGAGGCTATTTGTGGTTGACTTATAACATTGTTTTGGTGATGTAAAAGGCAGGTGTTCAGAGTAAAATTCTGAATTCTATCGAGAGGAAAACTTTTGAATGTTAGTCAATTATTTAATCAATTATACCTTTATGTTATAAAATGCAATAAATTTTAAAAAATCTTAAAGATTATGTGTGAGCTCAATTTTTTCATTAAACAAAATTGTTTTTAATGTGCTAAAACTGTTGTGCTTTGAAAGAAGTGTTAATCTGCCATCAACTTTAGCCTGTCCCATCTTACTTAAGGTTCTAAATGGTAACAATATGTTATTTGTTTATGTAGGAGAATGATATCTCTAGTAATCTCTTTTTTGCCAGGTTTTTTTTGTTTTGGTTTTTGTTTTTTGAGATGGAGTTTCTCTTTTGTTGCCCAGGCTGGAGTGCAACAGCACAATCTCAGGCCACTGCAACCTCTGCCTCCTGGGTTCAAGCAATTCTCTTGCCTCCTGAGTAGCTGGGACTACCAGTGCCCACCACAACACCCAGCTAATTTTTGCATTTTTAGTAGAGACAGGGTTTCACCATGTTGGCCCAGCTGGTCTCAAACTTCTGACTTCAAGTGATCTGCCTGCCTCAGCCTCCAAAACTGCTGAGATTACAGGCATGAGCAACCACACCTAGCCTGCCAGTGGTTCTAAATAGCAAATAAGTTGAATTTGTTCCCATAGGTCAAATTTGTATTCTTTTTTACCTTAATTTTTTAAAAAAAATTTGTAGGTAGTGTGCAAAAACACTTATGCATTTATGAGCTATTTTAACAGGCATACACTAATTATCACAGAGTAAACAAGGTATTCATCACCTGGAGCATGTATTTATCTTTGTATTACAAAGATTCCCATTATATACTTTTAGTTATTTCAATATTATTAACTACAGGGTCATTTTTATGGTCATAAAAATTATATGAGTATAATAAATATCCATACATTTCTGAGTCTTGATTAAATATTTTTAAAAATTTGCTTTGTGGAGAGACGATCCAAGATGGCCGATCGCTAACATCCCGGGATTGTAGCTCTCAGTGAAGGCGCAGAGAACTAGAGGATGCCACACTTTCAGACAAATTCTGGTCGCTCACTGAGCAGAAGATCCCCAGTGGAGGAAACACACGGGTCACCAGCGCGACTCTCGTGGCGGGTGCAGCGGTTCCGCCGGCACCTCGGCGCGGCAGCTCTTGGAGCAGAGTAAACAGGTTTGGAGGACCCGCACGGGCCCCCAGCAGGACACCAGAGCCCAGCGCAGCGGCTGTGAAGGCACCTTGGCGCGGCAGCGCTCGGCGCAGAGTAAATGGGACCGGTTCCCCTTCTGACCGAGGTTTGGAGCCCCGGGAAGGCAGAGTCGCCTACTACAGACACAAGAAGGAAGCCAGACAGGAGAATCCTGGGAAGAAAAGCACCATCAGTCTTAACGCCACCATTCTGGCCCTGGGAACTAACAACCTGGATGCCCACTCAAGAGACCTAACCTGAAAGTTGGTAATTTCAAAGACGAGAGGAGGATAAATTTACAATGACGGGAAGAAACCAGCGTAAAAAAGCTGAGAATACTCAAAGTCAGAACGCCTCTCCCTCTAAAGATGATCACAGTTCCACAACGACAATGGAACAAGGCTTGATGGAGAACGAGCGCATCCCAATGACAGAAGTACTCTTCAAGGAATGGATAATAACAAACTTTGGTGAGTTAAAAGAACATGTTGTAGCCCAATGTAAAGAAACTAGGAACTTTGAAAAAAGGTTTGATGAAATCCTATTGAGAATAGACAACTTAGAGAGGAGTATGAGTGAATTAAAGGAACTGAAGAATACAATACAGGAACTCCGAGAAGTATGCACAGGTTTAAACACTCGAATTGTTCAAGCAGAAGAAGGGGATATCAGAGGTCAAAGTCCAACTTAATGAAATAAAACGTGAAGAAAACATTAGAGAAAAAAGGATAAAAAGGAATGAGCAAAGTCTCCAAGAAATGTGGGACTACGTGAAAAGACCAAATTTACGTTTGACAGGTGTACCTGAATGCGACAGAGAGAATGAATCCAAGCTGGAAAATACCCTTCAGAATATTATTCAGGAAAATTTTCCTGAACTAGCAAAGCAGGTCAATATTCTACCCCAGGTAATACAGAGAACACCACAAAGATATTCCTCAAGAAGAGCAACCCCAAGGCACATAATCGTTAGATTCACCAGGGTTGAAACGAAGGAGAAAATACTAAGGGCAGCCAGAGAGAAAGGTCAGGTTACCCACAAAGGCAAGCCTATCAGACTTACAGCAGATCTCTCAGCAGAAACTCTACAAGCCAGAACAGAGTGGGGGCCAATATTCAACATCCTCAAAGAACAGAAACTTCAGCCCAGAATTTCCAAACTAAACTTCACAACTGAAGGAAAAATAAAATCTTTTATGAACAAGCAAGAACTCAGAGATTTTATTACCACCAGGCCTGCTTTACAAGAGCTTCTGAAAGAAGCATTACACACAGAAAGAAACAACCAGTATTAGCCTTTCTAAAAATATACCGAAAAGTAAAGAGCACCGACATAAAGAATTTACACCAACGAATGGATAAAACAGCCAGTTAACATCAAATGGCAGTAACCCTAAATTTAAATCGACTAAATCCCCCAATCACAAGACACAGCCAAAACCCAACGGCATGTTACATCCAGTCCTGTTTCACATGCAAGGATACACAAAGACTCAAAACAAAGGGATGGAGAAAGATTTACCAACCAAATGGAGAGCAAAAATAAATAATAAATAAATAAAAAGCAGGAGTTGCAAATCTCGTATCGGATAAAATAGATTTTAAAGCAACAAAGATACAGTGGTAAAAGGATCAATGCAACAACAAGAGCTAATGATCCTAACACCCAGATACATAAAGACTTAGACTCAATGAGACAGAAAATTAATAAGGGTATCAAGGACTCGAACTCAGATCCAGAACAAGTAAACTTAATAAATATTTATAGAGCTCCCCACTTCAAATACACAAAATACACATTCTTGTCAATACCACATCACACCTACTTAATAAGTTTAAATGAAACATTGATTGGCCATTATTAATACCCAATTTTTTTCAGAATAAAGCAATATTTCCGTTTACTCTCCCTCTTTCTTCCTTTCCTTTACTGATTTTTATTTATTTATTTATTTATCTTTCCTTCTCTCAAAAAAAAGAAATCAACTTGTAAACCTCTAGATCCAGGTCGGCAATGTCTCTCTCATTGCTTGATTTCCTTCCTTCCCTTCCCTCCCTCCCTCCCCCATTCTTCCCTTCCTTCCTTCCTTCATCCCTTCCTTTCTCCCTACCATCCTCCTTCCCTCCCTTCTTGCCTTCCTCCCCCACCAAAAAAAAAACAGGAAACAAAAATTTTGCTTTGTATGTATTTTGTACATGTGGCCTCTCTGCTGACAAAAACAGACTTTTAGTTTTTTGATTTACATAGAGTTACATATACAAATACATTACTCGAAATATATACCAGCAGGGCACAGTGGCTGATTCCTGTAATCCCAGCACTTTGGGAGGCCAAGGTGGGCAGATTATTTGAGGTCAGGCGTTCAAGACCAGCCTCGAGAACAATGAAACACCATGGGTCTATACTAAAAATACAAAAAACTAGCTGGGCATGGTGGTGGGTGCCTGTAGTTCCAGCTACTAGGGAGGCTGAGGCAGGAGAATCGCTTGAACCCAGGAGGTGAAGGTTGCAGTGAGCTGAGAGGGCACCACTGCACTCCAGCCTGGGTGACAGAGTAAGATACCATCTCAAAAAAAAAAAAAAAAGCCAATACATCTTAAGTGTAAGAAAGTCATGTAGCATGCATTGTTGAGTGTGTTTGTATGCATTTTCAGAAGAAAAATGTTGAAACAAAAAATATCATTTTAATAAGGTGGATAATTAACCAGAAACCTGGAAATCTCAAAGATTCTGGAAAAAAAATTTTTTTTTTTTTTCAAAGTTTTGTTCTGTCACCAGGCGCCAAGCTAGAGTGCAGTGGCGTGAGCTCGGCTCACTGCAACCTCTGCCTCCCAGGTTCAAGCAATGCTCCTGCCTCAGCCTGCCAAGTAGCTGAAACTACAGGCCTGCACCACCAAGCCCAGCGATTTTTTCTATTTCTTAGTAGAGACATGTTTCACCATGTTGGCCAGGATTGTCTCAATCTCTTGACCTGGTGATCTGCCCACCTCCGCCTTTCAAAGTGCTGGGATTACAGGAGTGAGCCACCGTGCCTGGCCCAGAAAAAAATTTATAATCTGTGCCTTGTTGATTTGTTACTGTAAAATCTTATCACATCCAAATCTTTTCTCAAATTGTAATCCCACATGTCAAGGGAGGGACTTGGTGGGAGGTGACTGGAACATGGGGGTAATTTTCCCTCATGCTATTCTCATGATAGTAAGTGACCTCTCAAAAGAGCTGATGGTTTTATAAGTGGCAGTTTTTTTCTGCTCTCCTCCTCTCCTGCCACCTGGTGAAGAAGGTACTTGCTTCTCCTTTGCCTCACAGAGAAGCTGTGCTAGAAATTTAAGGTTGGAGCCCTCATGCAGAATGCCCACTGGAGCTGCCTACTGGAGTTGTGAGAAGGCAACTATACTGCAGACCCCAGAATGACACATCCACCATGAGCAGCACTGTGCACCTGAAGAAGCCACAGGCACTCAATTCCAATCCATGAAGGTGCTGCTCAAGGCCATGAGGGCCCCCCCTTGCATCAGCATGCCCCAGATGTGAGATGTGGAGTCAAATGAGATCATCTCAGGGCTTTAAGATTTAATGACTGCCCAGCTGGAATTCAAACTTGCATGAGGTCTGTAGCTCCCATTTGAAATGGGAGAATTTATCTAATGTCTGTATTCCCAGGTATCTTGGAAGTAACTAACTTACTTTTGATATACAGGCTTATAGGTAGCAGGGACTTGCCTTGACACAGATGAGAGTTTGGACTTAGACTTTTGTGTTAATGCCAAAATGAGTTAAGACTTTGCGGGACTGTTGGGAAAGTATATTTGGTTTTGAAATATAAAAAGGGCCTGAGATTTGGAAAGGGCCAGGAGCAGAATGATACCCAGGGTGTTCTGATGATAGCGAGTGAGTTCTTATGAGATTGGATGGTTTTATAAGTGTTAATTTTTTCTGCTCTCCCTCTCTCCTGCCACCTCGTGAAGGAAGATACCTGCTTTTTCATCTGCCATTATTGTAAAATTCTTGAGGCCTCCCCAGCCATGTGGAACTGTGACTCAATTAAACTTCTTTTCATCATAAATTATCCAGTCTTGGGTAGTATTTTTATAGCAGTGTAAAAAAAGACTAATGCACAAATATAAGATAGGGCTATCTGTGTACTAGATGCTTCATAATTAGCCATAATTATTTCTGCTTGAGTTTCTTTGTAACTCTCAGTCACAAATGGAAAATATTTGTGGTGAAAAAATATATTGATTCAGCATGTGAAAAGAACATCTATACCCAAGCTGCAAAATGGCCTCTCTGAATTTAAATAAAAATTCTGCTTTTTAAATTTTGTATTATCTTTCTTTGTATGTTTATCCCATTGATGTATCCATCACAGCCCTTCCCCTTTTTGCTTTGTTATGGCTATAGTTTTCTCACTATTCTCTCTGTGCCATACCATTTCACACAGTACTTTGTAGGTTCTGATGAGAAGTTTGGAATTTTTTAATATGGGGAAAAACTGTGTTAAACTTGGGAGTTTGAACTTATTTATAGCTTCTCAATGTAACTTCCAGATCAGCTAATTGAGGTAAGAGGCATACCTCTTACTCAGGTCCACAGGTGAGAAGATTATTAAATCAGATAGCACTGTTTGTCTTTGTAAAAAAAAAAAAGTTTTATTTGATTCTAAGACAAAGTGTAGCATATACAAAATTAGTTAGAAAATGTATCTTCAAAATTAAATTTATTTGACAGTTAATATTGAGGGATAATTATTAAATGTAATTTTAATAATGTATTTATAAGACATGTTTTCATGCAGAATTTTATATTTTTGAGTGTGAATGTTAAAGGTTTAAAAAAAATTAGCTCTGAGGATTTAAAATTTATAATAATACTTTTTTCATATTAATGGTACAATCTTGAGAGATTTTCTATTATTATTATTTTTTTTTAGTGGGTGAGGTTCACAGTCTAAATTTTTCACTCTTATTCATCTAACTGTAGCCAACATTTTGGTCATTTTCTCTGGGAAAATTGTGGAGATTATGGCAGCTTTTGGATTAAAACATTTACCCAGTTATCTGTGATACAAATATGTTTACTGTGTTCACAGCGTGACCAATCATGTGACAGGTAGCCACACCTGATTTTTAGTGTCTTCCATTACATCGTCATCAGCACCAGAAACTAAAGATTCCCAGGCTGAAAGTAAAATCCCTAAAGTATATTGGCTCTCCCATGCTCTGCTGGACCCAGAATATGCTGGTAAATACCAGAGTTTCTATTGCTATTACTGACAAGTTAAATAACAAAAACAGCACAAAAAAATTGGGAAAAATGCATTGATACATTTTTAGTTATTTATAGTTTATAGAACTTTACAGTTTCTA